AACTGGCCGAACAGCTGAGGTGTCACGCACCAGGACATTGTATTCATACTCAAAGGCCGGCTTCCACTCCTCAGGGTTTGCGCGCACTTCACTCAGCGGCACCGTCACCGTTTGCAGCACTGCGTCACCAGCTTGCACCCTTTCACTCTGCTCCTTGCGCGCCAACTCGGTCAGGCGACCCTCAATCTCATCGCGCCAACCCACGAAGTGCTCTACAAAGTTCCCCTGAACCCTGCCCTGCTCTGTAGTTGGCATTGCACAACTTCATGTTGATGCTCCCACACCTGTTGCACCTTGTCCAACTTCACCAGCCGCTTCCCCACATAGCCCTGCGCGTCGTCCTCCCCCGTGCCCAGCGTTCTCATAGCCCTGACACCTCTTGCGGAAGTCGCCGTCGACGATATAGGGAAGTCCAGCGGTTGGTCTTGCCAGATGTCCTCCTTGTCCACGGGCTGAGGGTCCAACGACGCAGCTGCATCCCCACCTGATGTAGCCTTGCGCGAAGTTGACAAAGGCGAAGAACCCCCCCCCCGTTGTAGGATGCGAAGCCCGTGGTGGACCTGGTACTTGTGGTTCACTTGTAGGAGGTTGTTTGCCCACCACCCTGTGCGTTGGCCTTCCAGGCTGCGGTTCCTCCTCCAATTGAAGTGCAACTTCAGGATCTGCATCAGGAAGTGGTCGTAGTTCCTCCGCCTCCATGTTGGGCTGAACCGCCTCCCTGACGTGCAAGATCTTTCCGTCGGTGAGCTCAACCACCCACCCATCGCTCATCAACGGGCACGGACATAGAAGTCGACCTCGAACAAAGGGAGCTGCCAGACCACCTTCTTTATGCCATTTCTTCATCTTGACATAGACCGTGGCATAGAAGGGGATCATCGGCAACATAGGAAGTCCCAGAGCCTCCAGCTGTTGTCGCCTTCTTTCCTCCGTGGCCTACCTCATAGCCATAGGCCAAGCTTCTCGTCCACAACCTGCCTCCGCCAGCTTCACCCGAGTCTTTCTTTTCAGTTGGTTCACCTCGGACTCGATGTGGCCGTTTGAGGCCGGGTCATCACCTGCCGTGAACGTCTGCAAGATGCCCATTGTTGCGCACCACTTGCGCATTTGTCGACTCAACAGCTCCTTGGCACGGTCTGAGTGAAGTCGGTTCGTGGCTATCCCCATAGCTCGGAACTTGATCAGGGTCCTCTGCATGGCCTCGATCACCATCTCCTGAGCGCGAGATTCCAGCGGCTCCATGCGCACCACCCGGGAGCTTCTTCTGGCTAGCCTCCAACTCCGCCGCGAACGCTGCCTCGTCGTAGTCCATCTCCGGGTTCAAGATGTCCTGCTCCTCCTCCTCCTGCGCTTCTTCGTCGAGTTCGGCCGCAGGGTCACCCACAGCGCCTTCGGTGGGCCCCTGTGAGTCCGGCTGGACACCCCCCCCACTCGGCTGCTCCTCATCTTCTTGGCGTTCTCCTTGGTCACCTTGGTCATGAAGTCCATCCCCATCCTTCACGGCCTTGATTTCCTGGGTGTAGTCGGGAACCAACGCCACCGCCATGAGGGCATACTTGACTGGTCTTTTGGTGACCAGATCCACTGTGTTGGTCAACGGCCCCACGATGTCCACTGACACGGACCATGCCGACGACATTCGGTCTTCCATAGACCTTCTGCGATGGGGCTTTTGCGATCCCATCTGTTCAATGCAAAGACGACAGTCCCTGCGGAACGGCCGATGGCCCAGGGCAAAGTGTTTCTTCCACCCCTCAACCTCCTTGGCTTTCATCGCGGCCACCTTGGGTTTCACCTCCACGAAGTTTCCAAGTAGATCAGGATGGCCTTCTTGATGGCTGCACGTAGCCCCGGCGCCCACAAAGCCCATGACTTGGACTGCGCAATACTTTCCTCCACGGAGTCCGGAAGTGCTTCATCCTTCAAGTTCTTGGCGAGGAGGTTGTGCAAGTCCTTCATGCGCGGCAAGTTAGTCATGATTGTTGTAGGTTTTCTCTTCTTATGGCCCATAGCTCCCTGATCGAAGGTGACCATGGCCATGTTCAGCCCACGAAGTTCCGGCCACGTCCAAAAGGAAGGCACCTGAGATTCTGCCGCCATGGACACCGGGTCCGCTGGAGATTCAAGCAGGAAGCCTGTGGGATCGCGAGCCACCTCCAAATCCCGCCGAGCTTCTTCCGCCATGTGGTACAGTCCCACTTGTTTCAACACAAGGGCGGCATCATGATCTGCCAGCCGTTGTTCTCCCGCTGAAAGATGTGGTAGTCCAAAGCGATGTTCATGGTGATCTCGAAGTGGTCGAGGTCCAGGTCTCCGGAAACGCAATCTCGAAACCGACCGACACGGTGGTCCTCCCAGAATCACCACCAAGGAACCTTGCTTCGCTAAGGAGACCAAGAATGCCCACAGAACCGGGTTGTGGATGTCTTGGTCCTTTCCATGCATCACATCCAGCGCGATGACTTCACATCCATGATCCTGTAGCTCCAGCCATTCTTGCACGTTCACCAGCAAATAGGTGCAGGATCACCTTTTTCGCCCTCAACAACCTTCTCCAGGTCCTGCGGTTCCATGGCAACGTCCCCTTGGTCAGGTCGTGCTCCTCCGCCATGTACCTGAAGAATCGTCGAGGCGCCTCAAGGAAACCGATGTTCCCACCAACTCATCACCTCGGGGTCCAGGTTGTCCTCCTGCTCGATGTCCAGGTATTTGCGACGCTCCGCGGCCTCAATCTCATGAATTAGCAGCAAGGCGTCCTTCTCCGGAACCACAGGGCATCCATCCCGAAGGTGTGACACGATCTTTCCCCTTCTCGGGTGTTCAACAGTACAACCAGACCTGGACCAGGTCATTTTGTAGCCCAGATCCACCAGTCCCCGAACCGGGACTATAGGTTCCACCGGCTGCTGCGACAAGAGGGTTCCAGTTGTTGGATCTTGATGCAGCTGGATCTGACCGTGCGCCAGTTCCACCGTCACTAACTCGGCCTTCTCGATCTCCCCGTCCAGAGCCATTCGCAAAGGATGCGTAGCTCCACCGTCTAGGAGACCCAGAGCCTCACCCAACGCCGCCCCAGCGCCCATGTCCAGCGACTTCACGTTGATCGCCTTCAACGTCACGGAGTGCAGCGACTTCAACAACGCTGCGGCCTGTCCAACCAAGCCACCCAACTCAGCTGACGCCGTAGTGCCTCCAGAGTCACCGGCGGGAGTAGTGTTCTCCTCCTTCACCTGCTTCTCTGGCTCCATGTCGTTCGCCTCCTTGTTTTTGTTTTGGCCCCCCACCCGTTCCGGGGTAGATGGCTTGCTATCACCGCCCTTCACCTTGGCCACCTTCGTGCTCTCCTCATTCACCTCCTTTGTTTTGACGATGTGAGGACAGTCTTTACGAGTGTGGTTGAGACCTGAGCAATGAAAGCATCTGTTGTCCTTGGGGTTCAACAGGGAGTGCTTGAACTTGCAGCGATCACCCCTGCGACATCCCTTTTCACTCAACCAAAAACGACAATCGCGCCGGCCTTCTCCAGCACCACCCTTGGCCTCCGGCCCACCTCCACCATTCGTAGTTGTGGTTGCCGTCGTTGAAGTCAAGGTCATAGATTTCACAGCAGGAGCCGTTTTCGTAGTTCCTGCACCATTGACACCATGAGCCAACTCTTCACTCTCGGCCTGCAACAGCTCCGCAAAGGTCTTGATCGCGTCCGTCGTGGGTCGGGTGTCAATGTTCAACTGTTGACGACACACAGCAAGCCTGTATGCCGCTTGAGCGCCCGTCTTGGCGATGTAGTCCGAGGTCTTGGTCAGGACGCCCGCGAGAATCACCGGATCCGGCAACATCACCGCCAGCTCTTGTGCCCTGTTCCACCACCGACGCCATTGCCTCAGGTTTGAAGCGACTTCCGCCATTGTTCCAGAAGTCTTCAGGTCCGTCAGATAACGGATGAGGTTCATCCTTTCGCTTTGGCCTCCAGGTTGAAACCTCACAAACAACGTGAACAGCAGATGCGAAGCACTCAACTTCCTCACCGCCACTGCTTCCGACCGAATCACTTCAGGCACCGCCTGCAGCAGCAAACTGGTCATTCTCCTCTCCGTCCTCGGCCACTTGGTTGCCGCCGTAGAGGTTCCTGGATCCAGCCTGAGCCGTTGGAGAGGTTCTGAAGACAACCACACCGCATAGTGCTCCTCGACCCCTTTGATTGTCGCTGCCCACCAGTCTCCCGCCGAAGGCTCTATGGTCACCAGCCAGTCGCCGAAGGTCAACGAGTTGGCGTCCAGTGGCAAGACCGGCAACTCCACGTTGCGAAGGCTCTCGTTCATGCACTCTTCGGAGCCTCCAGCCCCGATTCCGGCACCTCCAGGAACAGCACCACTGCCCGGTCCACCACCATGAGGAGGTCCAGCAGCTCCACCACCTCCACCCCCTGATCCCATGGGTACGGCCACGGAAAGCATGGTCCTGTAGGTCCAACTCCCATCGTCCCCATCCCAGCTCCTTGCATGCTAGGATGTTGACCATTCGTCATAGCCCCGGCTCCTTGCATGCCAGGGTTCTGACCATTCGTCATAGTCCCGGCTCCTTGCATGCCAGGGTTCTGACCATTCGTAGTCCCCGAAGACACCGAAGACGACATAGGTTGCGTGCCAGCGCCCGGTTGTAGGCCTTGTCCACCTTGAGGATGATGTCCTTGTCCAGCGGGTTGCCCGCTGCCACCATCAACAGGTTGTCCGCCAACACCTGAGCCCTCTGGAACGGACTTGAAAGAGGCGTTCGATGAGGTCCTTCCCTCACCCACCATGTGTTTGACACCCTCCGCGAACCGCTGCTCAGCCTCGCGAAGACATTGAAGACGAAATAGTTCCACCTGTTCCGTAGGTCCAACGCTGCCTGCCACACCGGCTTGTTGTTCTTGCAATTTGGCAGCTGTCCATGGGTTGATCGGCTGATCGGCGAACTTTGAGCTTGACTGAGCCCCGGAGGACTCCCACCAGCACCCTGAACTAGTTCTCCAGGTTGTCCCGCTCCAGGTCGTTGGCCTTGTCCCGCTTGTAGTGCCCCTTGTACCTGGACTTGACCAGCAGATAGACTCCCATCACCATGAAGGCCACTTAGGTCTCCTCGTTCGGCATTTGTGCTTGGTTGCCACTCCCCAAGACATTTCCAGGGAATGGAGTTGCAAGAAGGCCCAACCCTCCAAAGGCCTCACGGGCCTGATGAAGCAAGGCTGCCGCTCCCGATCCAAGACCTCCACCATTGCCATGAGCTCCAGGAGGAAGAGGTAACAGACCTGCACCAGCTGGAAGCGGAGGCACATGCGGAAAGATCGGCACCTGCACCGTCTCTTGGGCCCTTGGCGGCACCGGCGTCTGCTTGGGTGTTGCAGCCGTCCTCTTCAAGGCTGGTGCCATGCTCGTGCTCGGCTCCAAGGATGATGCTCTTCTCGGTGGGGCGGATTTCGCCCTGTGCTCCTCAAGCAGCTGGTCCAGCTGCTCATCCGCCGTCTGCCTCCGAGCTTTCGAAGACGATCGCCTGCGGTCCATGGCGGCCATCAACCTGAGAACCTCAGGGTGGACTTCCACCTAACTTGGGCTCATAACCCATGTGAGTGCAGTTCACTCGGACCTTTTCTTTCTTGAGCCAAACGTTGCCAAGTTAATGGCTGGTTTCGAAGTTTCGAAGGGGCCTTCAAGATGGGACACTTCTTGTTTTGTGCGGACTGACTCGCAGTGTCAAAAGGTTCCACCTCGTTTGATAGACGATCAAGAGTGAGCAAGTGTCAGCAGGCAGCATGCAGCATGCCTCTAAGACTTTAAGATCCAAGGCCCTGGCAGAGGTGGGGGCAGGTCCGGCGTTTCCTGTCGGTCCTCCTCCGGGTGTGTCTTGGTGTCACCACGACAGGCACAAAGAACGACACAGACGGTGATGAGGCAGCAAAGAGCTCCAGCCGATGCAAAAATCACAACCTAAAGGCACGGGTATTCATGTCACCGGTCAGCAACAAACATTGCCAATTGCTGAGGAAACTTGACTACAACAATTCTTCTGAAACAATACCTGAAGCAGGTCAAGAAAACTGTTTGCTACTACACAGCCAAAGTGTCCCGGAAAAAAATAAACACGATACAGTATATTGATCCACATGCCTTCACGGAGCACGGAACCTATAAAACTGTTTCACCTGTCACCTCCAAGTGGCCAAAAGGTATGACTCGGGTGGGCATTCATCTTGCAGCTGCCACCCCTGCTCGTCGCAAGTCACCACCGCCTCAACACCGGAGTCGCAGGGTGCCCGGCATTGTTGGCCCACCACTTGCGGTTCTTGACAGTCAAATGGCCCAGCACCTCGAAAGAACGACAAAAACAAGTCCTAACAAAGGGTATATACGGTATATATCTATATATTCTTGGATGTAATGTTATGCTGCTATGCTTTCTTCCACTTGCAAACCTCAAAACTATGCTTTCTTTCATTTTTAGGGGATAGGCTGCGGAGTGAGGTAGGTGGAGGTAAAAAGCTGTTAGCTACTACTATGACAGCAAGGAAGCTACTGAATGCAGAGACGCAAAAAAGCTCAGGCATCTTCAAGGAAGCTCCCTCTGACTGAGGGCGGGAACTTCCTTGAAGAAACCTTCGCATGATTGATTTGGCTCCTAGAGCGTCCTTGCTCCTAGTAGCGATGCCAGGAGCCCCTAGTAGCTTCTTGTTCCTAGGGGGAACCCTTAACCTGCTATCTGTTTGTTGTTGTCATGATGGGAGACTCCGTTGAATCGATGTGCTTTGAGTCCTTGCCTGTGATGACTGGGAACGATGATGGGCTGCATATAGTGCCATCAGCACCGGTTACCAACTTTGAAACAGCCTCTTGCCTTCGAGCGCCAACCAAAATGTCTGCATTGTGCGCCAAGACTTGGATAGAGTAGAAGCCAACCTTGGCTTCTGACACATTCATCATGCCATCCACAATTAGCTGCTGCAGGGTAAATACACTGGCTGCATCCAGTTGGGCAGTGATGTTGGAGCCCAAATCATCAGCCTGTTGCTGTGTGTCAGCCAAGAACCATACAGAGTAAACAGCGGTAACCCCTCCTACAGCCAACAGTCTGCCCAAAGTCTCAGTCGTGAGCACCATGGAGAGCTGTAGCTCTTCGATCCCAACACCGATGAGGTTGCTGAGGACTTGTCCAACCACCCCCCTTTGCATCAGGATCTTGAACAAACTCCACGGAGTTGTTCACATCCATACGAAGCACACCAGCCACATTGACTCGAACTTCAAAGTCCGTCAAGGTCGTTGTGACAGTCCATGTGCTTGTGAGGCTCGTGGTTCGGGTTTGGGTCACCGTGCGGAGTGTACAAACTGGGAAGTTCCCACTCAGGGCACCTTCGGGTTCACAGGTCAGGGTGGTGCTGTCACCTTCCCATTCAGAAGAGCAAGATGCCGTACACTGCCCACCTGTGCGGATCCCATCACAAGTGTGAAGAAATTGAGATCCAGTTGGGAAATTGTAGAAGCATGCTTGTGGGAGACAGCTTGGCAAAGATCCTCTCAACGTAATCGCATCAGCAGTCTCCAGCTCACTGGCCGGATCGATTCCCAGCTCTGGGCCTGCACAAGTGAGGCTCTGCACTCCGTTGGTGGAGGTGTAGCCTTTCTGGCAAAATGCGGAGCAGCTAAACCCAAAGGGTATATTGCTACAAATGTGACCTAGACTGGCTGTCCTGGCTTCAGGAACTGACAAGTTGCAGGTCACTGGTTGACATCGTACGGTAGCATCAGTCCGTGCAGCCCCATCACTGCCACATGTGAAAGTGCCGTCTGAGCCAATATAGCCATCTGCACATTGTTGCTGACACGTCTCGCCCGTCCTGACGTCCGTGCAATTTGTCACAGTCCGTTCGCTTTCCGTTGGCACACCAGAGGTACACACTTCAGGTTCACAAGAAGGAAGAGACCCAAGAAGTGACACCGAAGCAGAGCTAGCATTCCAGGAACAGGCCCATTCTTGCTGAAGGCTACTAAGCTTATAGCCCGCTGCACATGTTACTGCGCAGCTTCGATTGAAAGTGAGCGAGCTGCAGGTGTGCGCGATGGATACAGCAGAGAGCTCGATGGGCGTATCACAAACCATTGGAGAGCAAGAAGGTGCCACTCCAAGAAGCAAGCCGGTAGGGTCGCACTGCATCGTCGTGCTGTTGGGGGTAAAGCCGGCAGCACATCTAACGGTACATGTTTCTGCTGTAGTTAGTCCAGTGCACTCATTCGAGTCCAATGTTGCATCAACAAGGAGGGGGTTCGAACATGGATTTCCACTGCAAGTTGGAGTTGTTCCTGAGAATGTTCCATCTGCAGAGCAAACCATTTGCTCTCCCCAGCCTTGCAAGTGATATCCGGTTGCACAGCTGACTCCACAGGTCTCTCCAAAGCGCTTACTCTGGCAATTGTGGTAGAATCTCTCCCCCAACTCCAAGTCTGAACAGGTAATTGGTTCGCATGAGGGTGCAGTCCCTTCAAAGACCTGAGTAGCCATGCATGTAAATGTCTGCAAGGTTGCGCTTGCTGCATAGGTATATCCAGGTTTGCCACAGGAAGCTTCACATGTTTCCCCAGTTGTCTTTGCGTTGCAGTTGTGGGAAACACCAAGTCCACTTGGGAAAGAGAAGTTGCAAGGCTTCCCAACACATGTTGGCAAACCTGACCCAACTAAAGTGCTGTCCTTGCATACAAAGAGAGAAGGCTCAGCCTCTTGCATGTCAAAGCCAAAGCCACAATGTGCGATGCAAGCTTCATCGTGCAGCTTGTCAGTGCAATCATGCAAAAACTGCAAGTGTTCCAGGCCAACCTGCGTCACAGAAGCTGATGGGCAAGGATTGAGGCTGCCAGACAAGCGTCTGCCAGTGGAATTGCACTGGATGTCTTGCACGACGCTCTGCAGCTCAAGAGCTTGACCATTGAGCATACATCGATACTGACGAGCAACCCCATCACCCTGCAGGCAGTACGCCCAGCAGTCTGCTCCATATGGGGTATAATGACAAGTGCTGCCAGTCCCATCACCCAAAGACGCGTAAGGGCAAACAGCTGGAACTATGTTGGGAATATTGCCTGAGCAGAATGTCGAATCTTGCCTTCAACTCTTTACTGTGGACAAACAAAACTCACCAGCATAGTGGTTCGGATACATGAGATTCTACTTTGGCAACACGACAACATGACAAACAAACATGGTATGCAGAGATTTGATGCCGCTTGGCATTTGGCCACTCGCCGCCTGTAAGATATCCTGATGCCTCACAAATCAGCTGCACAGTTTGTCCTCCTTCCAGCTGATAGGGCACCACGGCATCCACAATGCAGAAACCACCTCAGGGATTCACTCTGGACATGTCATCCTTCTCCCTTTCTCTGCTTACTTGCATAGCGCGAGTCCGTTTGCTTGGCAATGATACATATAATATACACATACTCCATTGAACATTATGTCATACAGTTTGTGCACACGTGCACGTGTGTTTGTGTTCCTTCACTTCATGTTCTACAACGACAAAGTCACCCAAAGCTGGCTGCACTGCATGTTTTTTGATGCGGAGGTTCCTTGTTTAAAATTTTAAAACCCGTGTGTGTGTGTGCGCACGCGTGTACATTGACCCAGGCCAGTGATTCATGGCATGGCCCTGGACACATGACAGGTGGCACAAAACATTAAAGGCCACACAAACAGTGAGAACACGTGCACCAGGATAGTGACATGTGACAAGTGACAAGCCCTGACAAAAATTATACAAGCATAGACCCCAAACAGCTTCAAAACGATTCGTTTAGACCAATATTAATCAAAAATCGATTTCTTGGTTCGCCCTACTTGCACCCCAAGAGCAAACTGCTTCATCAATGAATTTTTGTCGGCATTAACATCGCGATTTCTTCGGCCACACTCCTCTCCAGTAAGCCGGGCCACAGAGACCAGCCACAGAGTTCAGGGGCGCGGCCAAGACAAGGACAAGAGGAGGACAAGACCCGGACACAGAGCCGGGCCACAGAGCCCAGCCACAGAGTTCAGGGGCGCAGCCAAGACAAGGACAAGAGGAGGACAAGAATTGACAAGGCCCAGCCACAGAGCCCAGCACAGAGGACAAGAGGAGGACAAGAGCCCAGTAAGCCGTCCATAGCACACGAGCGCGCTCGCCCTGCTCTCTTTCTCTCTCTCTCTCTCTCTCTGTCTATCTCTCTCTCTCTCTCTGTCTCTTTCTCTCTCTGTCTTT